TCAGGGGTTAATAATGACAATATTTGTCATTATTAACTCCTGATATTATGTATGTGCGCGTGCGTATGTGCGTGAGCGAACGTATGTGCATGCGTGTGCGTGCGTATGTACGTGTGCGTGCGTATGTACGTGGGCGTACATATGCATGGCTCGTTGGCGTTGCGTCGTTATATACCTGTGCGTGCGCGGTGTACGCCGTGCCGTTGCATATGTGCGGTTGCGCGTTGGCTGTATTGTACGCGTGGCGCTAAAGTGTGGCTGCGGAGCACAGGGTAGGTCTGTGTGTGTGTGTGTGTGTGTGTGTGTGTGTGTCGATGAGGAAGAAACCGCCAGCGAGGTGTGTATGGGGGAGGGCTATATGCTCGCACAGCGGGGACACCCGCGCGCATTTTAACGCTTCAGGCGGCAATTTCTGGCTTTCGTTGAGCTCTTTCTGGGAAACAATAAATAAAATAGAGGTTCGAACATTTGAAATGATCATAAATGAATGTCTCGAACTTTCCACTCGTTTTCTCGCAATAATTCACGGATAAGGTGTGACATGACCCTAATGCTTCCCCCATCTATCTTCCAGTTGTCCAGTTATCAACGAGCACTCCATTTGTAAAACGACAAGTAAAATTTAAAACGCTCATGAATAAGTTCCTCGGGGTGTTTTCGTAACTCGTTTTTCGGAATCGTTTCGTGGAAGGGGAGGGGGCCGTCGCCCCGATACACCGCCTCTCCTTACTCCCCCGCCAGCGACACAGGCACTTGGAGCGTTTCGATAAAATATAATGCTAAATAAATACGAAATCTATTTACTACCAAAGTCTTAATGTTTAACTACTCTTTTTCGCCTATTATTGCCGACAATTTCCTGTAAATGCCGTGCAAATGCTCCTCTGTAACACACATGTACACCGCGCGCACGCTGCCTCACACTGACATATATATATATATATATATGACTAGATACTTATTTGTCAGTGTGCGGTAGCGTGCGTGCGGTGTGCATGTGTGTTGCAGAGGAGCATTTGCACGGCATTTACAGGAAATTGTCGGCAATAATAGGCGAAGAAAGTAGAGAAACATGAAGACTTTGGTAGTAAATAGATTTCGTATTTATTTAGCATTATATTTTATCGAAACGCTCCAAGTGCCTGTGGATTCGTGGAAGGAAGGCTCTCGCCCCTGATACCCCGTCTCTATTTATTGCCCCGCCAGCGATGCCTCTCTATAGCTATAACAACGTTTGGCAGGTAACTGCGATAACAACAAAACCACGTGCAACTGCAACAACAACGACAGCGTGTGGCGCCAGGACAACGGCACGCTGACTGACGTCACCGCGCTTCCCGTGACGTCACTCGCGTTCGGAGACACGGACGGCGCCGAGGAGATCGGCTATCACTTCTTAGGGCCGCTTCGCTGCTGGCACTGATAGCTGACAAGGTAGCTACTCGTGCTAGTACAGTGGTTCTTTTTAACATTTTTGGCCCCACGACCCCATCAGACATTCTTGGTCAGTACCGTGACCCCCGAAAAAAATTGAAGAAAAAAAGATTTATGGAAACATGTCTGTCAATACTCAGTCAATGGGATGGCTGAAATTGCTTCGCAGCCATCAGACGATCAAAAAAAAATTCGGGCAAGTGCTTTGGGCTTGTGGGCAACCAAATTTGAGTCACTTGCCCGACAGGGCAAGTGAGGAAAAGAAATTTTGTAGCACCCTCATAATTATATAGAATTTAAATGGATTTGTTTCATTTATTACCCCTTGATGACCCCGGAAAACCCCCCAAACGACCCCCATGGGGGTCACGACCCCCAGGTTAAGAACCGCTGTGCTAGTGGGTCACGATCTATCCATCAAAACATGATACCGGTATGAAAATGAAGACGTTGCTTCTCTGCGTGTGATCTATCCACGCTGTCGTTTCGACTCGTCGCCGAAATCGATTTTTTTAAATGTATAAAGACGCGTTTCTAACGTTTTAATAACGTTAGACTGCTACGAGTTACGATTTCATGATATCGGCTAAGAAATGCGTGTATTTGAGGTTCGTACGATGACTTCAGTTTCATTCCTAACTTTAAACTTTATATGCGGGCAAGGCAGCGAACGGACGTCAGAACAACATAACCACGCCTAGCTTAGATAAAAATTGAATTTTGGGTGTTTGATTTGGTAGACCAGTTCATACGTGTTTTTGACGCGTTAACGTTGATTTGTCGATATAATGACAGTTTTATCTAAGTGTATATTACTAAGAAACGTTTTTAGAACGCGGTATCACAACTCAGATTGGCTAGATGTACCTGTCAATCATTCTATTAAATAGACCAATTACAATAATGTAATCCATTTAGTTAATACAAATTTAAAAGCTGGATTAATTTGTTTTACTAATTTCGTCTTATTAATTCAGTAATACCACCGTCACTGTGAATATTTACAGTGTGTATACAGTTGTTTTATTAACACAAAAAATGAAATTGTGCGGTAGCAAAAATAAAGCCAGTCGTCGCCAACGGCATTTCGTTACTAATTAATTTCTCTATTTTATTTCATTTTATACGATCTTGTTCTTTATTCGTTATATTGTTATGGTGGCGTATTTATGACACGCATGCGCTGTCGTCAGTTTCGTCTGCATTTCTCTCTATAGGCAAATCACCATTTTATTCCCTCTTCTCTGTCTTTCACCCTTCTCCTCCACCCTCTTCCCCCTCCTCTCGCTGTCTCTCTCTCTCTCTCTCTCTCTCTCTCTCTCTCTCTCTCTCTCTCTCTCTCTCTCTCTCTCTGAATAACTTCCTCATTAAATAGCGCTACTGCGAGTTCTCATACTATATAAAGGTTGTTTATCACGGAGTCAGTGCCTGGATTTTCTACTCGCCAAATTTCTTATGAGTTCAGCTGTTCGTGTGAACTATCAAATCCAGCCATCGCTCAAGATAGTATTATATATCGCACCTGTCATTTCACGTTGACTCACCCGATGAACTTATTTCTACCTGCGATCCCGCGACCCCGGCTCGGTCACGTAGCCCCA